CAACTATGGCCTGGGAGTCTTGTCTGCCTCCAATTTCCAGGAGGATCTATATATGTTTCTCCTTATATTTACATTATAACTTCGATCAAGAGAGGAATGGAGAATGGGTGGGGCAGGAAATGGGAAGGGAGTTGGAACTGGCTACTATGTGAAATGAAAACATATTATAAAAATCATTTTAAGAGGAAAAAAGAAAGTATGTTACAGGGAGTGAGCTGAATGGTGTTGGATATCTGATGAGCATTATGGTGTGAGACTTAAAGATGCAGAGTTTGGAGTAAACACCGATGTTTTTGGTCTAGCGTTGCATTGGTCTAGTATCTCCTCACGATGTTATCTTCCCTACTTTTTGAAGAGAGGTGCATATCGTCCCCCATTAGAAGTTGAAAGTGTTAAAAATGGATTTTGATTTGTAATTTTATAGCAGAGTATAATTAAGAGATTTATGAACCGCGTCAGAGGAGACTTTCAACTATGAGTTCAAAACATTGTTGGGATTGTGGTATACAATGGGGGGATTTGAGCTGCATAAAGAAAAATTGCATTATGAAATTGCTACGCATTTATAGTGTTGAATTAGGAGGGGCGGCAGGGCTGCGTCCCCGGCACCCGGCCGCCCGCATGGCTAGGTTATGCCAGAAATAATTACACGGAAACTGTATTCTTTCAAACACTGCCTGGCCCGGCTAGGTCCAGTTTCTTATTGGCTAGCTCTTACATATTGTTCTAACCCATTTCTAATATTCTGTGTAGCCCATGAGCTGGCTTACCAGAGAGGATCTTAACCTGCGTCTGTCTGGAGTGGGAGCATCATGGCGACTGCTCCACCAAGCCTCCTTCTCCCAGAATTCTCCTGTTTTCTCCACCCACCTAAAGGTGGGCCTTATCAAGGGGCCTAGGCAGTTTCTTTATTAATAAGAAATCACTCCCACATCATTATAGGGTAAAAGGATGAAAAGTGGTAGCTTGAATGTAACCATCCTCGATAAAATCCTAGGGTGTGGCATCACTAGCAAGTGTGCCTTTTTTACAGAATTGTGCTTTTGTTTTAGGGTGTGTGTCACTGTGGACAGAGCTTTGAGGTTGCATATGGACTCAAGCCAGATGCAGTGTACTACACCACTTCCCATTATCTGTAGGATGAAAATTTATGTCCTCATCCGCTCTCTGCTCCTTCATCAACACCATGTCTTCTTGCATGCCACCATGGTTAGGCAGGATGATCCTAGACTAAACCTCTGAAGTTTTACTTATTGATCTAGCCAAATATTTTTTTTTGTAAGTGGTCAATGTGCTCCACAGCAACAGAAATTCTAAAAAAATGCTGTGTGCTAATGAACACCAGTTTATGTGTGGTTCTGTTATAGGATAGTTTGTAACTAACAGAGGCTAAACCCTTTCTGTATGACAGGACCATGGCTGTTTTGGAGGGAATGCACAGGAGGAATTGCCACGTACCTGTCATCTGCTTGTAGTTATTTGAATGTAGTGTAGGGACTTCTGTGTAGTATGTGATACTTCTCCATCCCAGTGTACGGCTGAGATGAAAAGCAGAGAAATATAACAGAAAGAGACACTTGCTTTTGTGAAAATCGTGACCATGATAATCAGCAGGGGGTCATAGTGTAAAGCTTAATAATGAACGGGGTTTATATAAGTGGGCTTAAAATTGTTAGAGGTGAGTTATCTAGTCGTCCATGACGTGTACATGAGAAAGGAGCTGTTGCTTTGTCAGGACAGCAGGGAACAGCAAGTAAGACCTGAAATATAGACATATGTGTATATGTGAGATTTGTCTATACAAAATATGATACTAAAAAAGTCATGAACCAACGCTATGTGGAGGGCTTGGAGTTTATGTTTGTATAGCTTGCAGGCCCTGATACCCAGTAGTATGTGGTCATGCATTAATCTGTGTGTTTTTGTATGGTTTTGACTTCAGGGGCCAGATGCATAACAGGTGCCAATGAGATTGTACTTTTGTCATTAAAATATATATATATGTTTATTAATATAACAGAGTTAAAATACAATGAAAGGGAATATCTTGGTGGCAAACGCAATTGTGCACCCCACCGATTACACTTTCAACTCTTTTCTTTGGAGCATAAAAAAGGGTTCATAGTTCACTCTGGAATGGGCATGACACAGATCAACAGTGCATCGAGTACATGGGAAATTCATTCCTCATCCATCTCCAGCCCTTGAATGGCCTGGATGGAGAGGATGTGGATCCAATCTCAGGCTGGTCATTGGGAATATTGGGTTCCATGGAAGGTTCCTCTGTCGAAAACTCCATGTTCCGAAACAAAGTGGGTCCTCCATCCAAGGGTGATTCGAATAAAGAGAGATCACCAGGCCAGATGTCTACAGAATTCATGTTGTCTCCAATGTTCCCATTAGCATACTTAATAATATTAGCCATCAGGACATCTCCTTCTGGGACTTTGACTTCTGAACAGGGCTTCAGCTCCAAGCACGAGTATTTGTTGAGCTTGATAAGACTTTGGCAACTCTTGCATCTTCCTCCTACACCCTCTTCTTTACATTGTCTCTTCCCAGCTTCTCTAATTGTTGGGAGGGCTGGTTCACTGGCTCTCCTCTTCAATGAAAATTGAGGGTGAGGAGCATCTATGTGGCTGCTCTTTAAACAGGGATGCTCAGTATGTTGGAAACTATTCTCACACATCAATTTGTGTTTTAGAATATTAAAAGTTGCTGTTATGTCATTTGGTTGCCTGTTTCTTAGTGATGAAAATATATCTTCCAAGTTATAACCCATGGTGCACATAGTCTCTACAAGCCTTGAAAGGATTTCTTTAGTTGTAGGTGTTGTATGTTTCTTTATGGAGCCCAGCCATGGTCTTTTCATAAGTTGACATATGGTTATTCTCCTCATGGTGGAAACTGTGAGTAATTGTGCAATGATTATGTGACAGGGTTTTGACAAGTGGTCGAAGCTGGGATACTTTGTGTTGGTGATGAGCCTGTGCATACCATCTAGTGTGTCTTCAGCATATGGAAATTGTCCTGTGACCATTGCATATGGGACAACTCCCGAGCTCCACATGTCAACAGCCAGCCCATCATAAGGTTTCCTTGACAAGATCTCTGGAGCTATATAGAACAAGGAACCACAGAGTTCTTCCAACTTCTGCTCCTCTGCGAGCTGAATTACCATACCAAAATCACAAAGCTTGGCATTTCCATCTCCGTCAATAAGGATATTCTCCAATATAATATCGCGATGCGCAATGCGTCTTTGGTGGAGAAAGTGCACTGCTGATATGACCTGTTGGAAGATGGGTCTAGCCTCCTGCTCCTTTAAACATCTAACCTCACTGAGGAACGTCTGTAGATCCTTTCCAGCCACATACTCCATGATTATATAAGTCGTTGACTGTGTGTCAATGACGTGAAAAAAATGAATGATGTTACTGTGTTCCAAAGACTGAAGGATCTTTACTTCAGAGTCTATCTCATCCAGAGTATTGCTTTTTTTACTGAGGATCTTGACAGCAACCTTTGTTTTGGTGGGAATGTGGCAGGCAAGCTTCACCTCCCCGAAAGAACCTACGCCTAGAGGTTTTAAGATCTTGAAATCTTTGTCAAGGATGTCTTCATCCCAGGGGCTGGCCATGATGTGTCGTCTCAATCCACCTACTTTTCTTTTTTTTTTTTTTGGGTCTATATTTACAAATTTTATTTTTTTATCTCAAAAATACATATAAATGAAAAGCTGTTCTCCAAATGCAACAGGCCTTTGCCTATCATGTGCTATTATCTCTATCACAAATACTGTCATATGAAAATCAGCACACAGCTCCTAAACACACCATTTACAGGCACACATACTGTAAGTCATGAACTCCTTTCTACTTACACAGAGTGCAGGTGGGAATTTCAGAAGCTGGGCTGCCCTTGCTTTCCAACCTCGGGAAGTAAATACAAACCCATGTCAAAGATGGAACCTAGATGTGGAAGCCACACAAGCCCCTCCAGACACAAACACACACACACACACACACACACACACACACACACACACAAGACCCAAGGCCACAGCAAGGCCCTGCCACAAAGTCAACGCTGGGGTGTCTCCCAAAGAGAGGAAAGAGACAACACCCGAACAAAAATGCAAAGCTGAAGAAAAAGAACAGACGATCCAAACGGTTACGCTGCCGAGCAGTGGTGGCGCCCACCTCAATTTTAATGCTGGCAGAGGCAGGCAGATCTCTGGGAGTTCCCAGTTCCAGGACAGCTAGGGCTGTTACAGAGAAACCCTGCCTCAAAAAATGGTTACGTCTGTTTCCTGTCATGTGACGTTTAGATCATCTGTTCTTTTTCTTCAGCTCTGCATCTCTACTCAAATGCTATCTCCTTCCTCTCCCTGAGAAACACCCCAACGCCGACCCCGCAGCAGGGCCTTGCTGTGGCCCCGGGTCTTGTGTGTGTGTGTGTCCAAAGGAGCCTGTGCAGCCTCCACATCCCGGCTCCATCCCCGACATGGGCCTGTACCCTCTCAGGACACAGCTGCACAACCCAGTGCAGGATAGACACCAGCACCCGATGGTAGAAGCCGTGACCTCCTACATAGTCATGTCTATACAGGCGTCGCAAAGTGTCTGTTTAGCTTAGACAGTCAATAACGAGGTCATGTGGTAAACTGTCACTTCCAAAAAACGAAGCGCAAAATCAACCTCTATGACTCAAGAGCTGATCCAGGTCAAAGCTTTGGTATATGCTGGAGGTTGTTTTGGTGACAACCAAAGCTTACTAAGATTCTCTGCTCTAGGATTTGTCCCCAAAACAAAACCCCTCGTCCACAAAGCTCAATGACATATAAATAAGAAAAACTGTACAAAGAGAACAAACAAGCCACGATCCCCTTTCCAAGGGCTTGGTTTGCAGCGGTTCTGAAGGCACCCACTACAGCCACACACTTTGACCAAAACTGACATGCTGTAATTGGTGAGACTGTTCTGAAAACAAGCGCCCACAGGCAGGCAGCTGCTGTGCCAAGTTCAACAAAATACGAGGTGAGAGTTCTCATACTGCAACCCAAGCTGGGCAGCAACAGAGGAGACTTAAGGCAAGAAGAGTCGCTGGAGAGTCAAGCCCACGGCCTCCAGCAGGAACAGTTTCTAATAGTGGGGATGCTTCTCAGTTGCTAGCTGTCAGACACCATTTCCTCCTCCTTGTCATCCTCATCTTCCTTCCTGTCTAGTTCAGAGGTGTCTGAAGACTCATGGAGCAAGACATACTCTCTGCTACTGAACCCAAATTTAAGGACATCTTTTTCTTTCAGTTCGTAGTATCTCTGTGGCTCAATACGCTTGTTGTTCAAGAAGGTTCCATTGCCTGAGCCGAGGTCAATGAGGTAGGGTTTCACCCTCCGACCAACTGTGCCATCAGCACGCGTGTACTCCACAAGCCGGTACTGGAAGACTGCATGCTGCTTGGAGCAAGAAGGATGGTCGATGGGAATGTCGGCGATGCGGCGATGTCGCCCCAGAAGGTAAGCACTCTGTCGATGGATGTACATGACTGGAAGTACCTCATCATTTTTAAAGGGGTAGAGACGCCACCGTTTTTTGGGGATCCGGGCTTCTGGGGGCTCACTGTACTTAATAACCACACCCCGGAAGGTATTGGTGTCCTCAAGAAGTGCCCCAGAAAGTTCAAAGCTTGGTTTTTCTTTGACAGGCACCTCTTTGCTCCTGTTACCAGCAGGGCGAGGGATCACCTCCTGAGCCTCACTGCCAGCACCTTCATTCTGCTGGCGATGCTCCCGGCGCCTGGCATTATGAAAGTCCCTCTCTTCTTCCTGGGCCTGCAGAATCTGGCTGTCTCGGTCCCGACCCTGCCCACTGACAGGCCTCTCACCAAAGCTCCTCCTTTGGCGGGAATGGCCCCGGTGTCGGTTTCGCTCACTGTTACGAGTTCTCCTTTGTTCCTGTTCTGATGGCTCCCGGTGCTGCAGATCCTCTCGTCCTCTCCGTGGATGGTCCTCGCGTTCCTGCTTCACTTTAACCATGGTGTAGTGGGGACTCCGGCTTCTCTTAGTCCGTGGAGACTTGCTTCTTCTCCCTGAGGACTTGTTTTTCTTTTTGACTGGGGACCGGCTCGCTCCCAGACCTCGACTCCCGCGGTGGTCGCCATGGCCTGGCTTAGTGGCGGGCGGGGACGGGTTAGCGGCTGGGGCGTCGTGTCGGCGGTGCTCGACTGGTTCGGGGCTCAGACGCTCCTGCTTCACCACCAAGGTCGCCAGCGCGTCGTCTGTCCGGTGTCGCCATCGGCCGCTTCGCTCCCACTCGCTCTTCTCCTCCTTCATCCTGCAGCCCAACCGAGAGCCTCTTGTACGGTCCATTGAGCCACCCCTACTTTTCTTGTTAGCAGCAGATTCTAGAAACAAAAAATTAATCAACGTTAGGATGCAGGTGTAGCACTATGAATCCATGGTCATCAAATCTTCGATTTCCCAAACAAAACTAATGATGCACTTCAAGGACATAGATATTTTAGAAAAACCCAACCTCAAAGCAGTAGTTAAGCAATCACAGAAAAGTTCAAAGAGGGAATCACTGATGTGTCCATGCAAATACAAATACTTACATCAGAGAAGTAATGATTTGATTATTTTCAACACTGAACCAAAATGAAAATCTTTCACCAATCTTATCAAGTGATAAGATATACAAATTAAATTATTGGTAAAAAGGAATAATGTTCTGGCCAAATAACCATCCAGAGGATATCTTCTGGATACATCAAATATTAAACCTAGGGAATTTGAAAGAATGAAAGGAATTCCTAGATTTGTGTGAACACTGAAATATGATAAAAGAAAAACCCTTAAACACATGAGACATATGAAGCAAGTGTGACTATTTAGAAAAACATACAAAGGCATGGTGCTGGAAATATCGTGTTTTAAAGCTAGGTTCTTTTGTGTATGATGTCTTTTCAGGATAAATTGTCTATCCAGCAGTGACTCACTTCCTATAAAGTTTCGCCTCTATGACTTTCAAAGCTTTCCAGTCAGCACTGGTTAATTGTCACTAAGTGCTCAAAAACCTGATATCGTGCTAAGAAAACCACTGTGGTATTTGAATGAGACGGGTCCCCACAGTATTGGGTGTTTGAGCACCAGTTTTGGGCCCATATGGTTAATTTCATGTGGTAGAGCCTTGGTGACTTATTAGTCAGAGTTCTCTAAACAACAGAGCACCTTATACAACAGTACAACCAACCTCTCTCCCCCTTGGAATTTATGGGAATCACTTACAGGCTGCTGTCCAGGGAATCCAACAATGGATGGCTATGAACTGAAACTTCAAAAATTTCAGGAGTTGCACAGTCCAGAGTGTTTTCTCTCTTGGCTGGTCTTCAGTATCTACTGGAATCCCAAAGAAGTTGGCTCTTGTTCCCAGGAAGGAACAGAGATGCTAACAAGGTGTTGGCCAGAGACAAATGAGCCAAAGCCTCTACCTACCTGTTTATATAGTCTTCCAGCACAAGGCGTGGCCAAAATAAAGGTGTGTCTTTTGGCTTCATGAACTGGATTAAAGGCGTGTGTCTTCCCACCAAATTCAATCATCAAAGGAGTATCTTTCCCTCCTTGAGATTGAGAACAAACCAATCAAAAATGATCCATTAAAGGTGTGCCCTCCATTTTCAGCTTGTAGTTCATTCCAGTTGTAGTCAAGTTGGCAACCAAAAGTAACTCTCACAATGTCAGAATTCCCTCCATTTAAGGGAATTGACCTTGAGATTAAGGAGCTTAGCCTTCATCATTTGCTGTCTGTGCTTTCTGAACCATAACAAATATGGAAGTAGATGCCAAGAACTGCAGTCTTTCTGTGATAAGTGTGATCATGTTTCTAATGAAAGAATATGGAATTTGGTACTGTGGATGAGAAAAACAGTTCAAAGGTTTAAGTGCTACTTGTTAGGGCATACAATTAAGAAAAAAAAGACAGTTGTGTTGATTGGGATTTGAAGGGTGTGTAACTTCAAGGAGAGGTTTCAGAGGAGAATAACATTACTATATGCCCTAGAGATTCTTGTGATATTTTCATGAAGAATGTATCTAGGTTTTGCCCTTTTCTAAAGAGTCTGCCTAACTCTAAATTGTGGAGTTTGGAATTGATCCTTATGGCAGAGAAAGAGTAAAAAAAAAAAAAAAAAGAAAAAGAAAACCACTGGTATAGTCAAGCTGTTGATAGTAGTGACTTTAAGCAGTATTTATAATGTAACGAGGCAAACTAAGCATTTCAAAAATAAAAGATGTAGAAAATTCAAGGCGAAAAGGAGTACCAGGAAGTGAAATGGAGTTAAATCTTGTGTTTAAGGAGAAAAACACTTGGAACTGAAATGAAGGGAGTGGTGACGTCAGGGCAAGATCAACCTAGTTATTAATAACTAGTGAAAAGAAATTACAGAAAAGCTTAGAGCCAGCTGCTGTGGTGCACGCCTTTAATCCCAACTCTAGTAGTGTATTTGCTGGTGGATCCCTGAGATTTAGGCAAGCACAGTATCCACAGCAAATTCCTGAGGAGTCAAGCAAAGTTAGTGAAGGAAACAAAGAGAAACCGAAAATTGGTGAAGGTGTAATTAAACCAGGGACCATGATCCAGCTAGTAACAGAACCTGTCAGCCTTAGCTACGTGGCTCTGACATTAAAGTCAAAAGTAGAAGAATGGCATTTAAGTATCTCGCCTTTCACTTAAGGAAAGCGTTTAAGGCCAGGCATTTCTCAAGAGTGACCCTCAATGGAAGCCTGTAGTGAAATTGTGTAAAGGTGTGATCTTGAAGCCTGTATTGCCTAGAGTACACCAAAATTTTGTGGAATGCCAATATTTGGTTATCTGCCAAGGGTAGCTGCTTCTCTGGTATAGCAACAGCCTAATTGAAAAGAGTATGTTGACAGTTAAAGCACTAGGGATAAATTCTGGATCCACAATCAGTTGCCCAATCTGCAAGACCCTCAAGCAAATTCAGGGGTTCTAATTTAGATTTTGCAGGTTTTCTCACTATCCGTCCAGAACCAGTAGCTCTCACTATCTCAGATCAGCTATTTCTGTGGGTATCACTATCATGGTTTTGATCTCTAGCCTCATTCTCTATTTCTTTTTTCCCCATTCCTTTAATTGTGGTAATTTTTAAAATATTTTTATGCTTTATAAATAATACAATTCAAAATTTCCACTTCATCCCCCCTCCCATTTCATTTAAGCTCCCCCACTTGTGCAACCCTTCTCACCCTCCAGTCCTAAGAGAGGTCAGGGTACCACCCTGCCCTGTGGGAATTCCAAGGACCTCTGCACTCCATTCAGGCTAGGGAAGGTGTGATCCAAATAGACTAGGATCTCAAAAAGCCAGTACATGAAGTAGAGACAAATCCCAGTGCCATTATCATTGGCTTTTTCATGTCTGGCTGGCAGAGGGGAGCATGGCATCTGAGCTCACTTCCTCCTTCTCACAGCAGTCTGTTCTGTTTACTCCAACCAACTTTGTTCTAACCTATAAAATGGGCCAAGGCAGTTTCTTTATTAGCCAATGACCTTCCTCCATTATTTTCCCTTTTTCTGTTTAAACAAAAAGGAAGGAAGACTTTAACTTTAACATAGCAAAATTCCATATAATAAAACAGTTATCAAGTAAAAAATACAATATTTACATCTATTTTATCTTATCATAACTAAGGGAAACTATAACTATAACTAACTATCTATTCTTCAACTCCATCAAAGACTCCAGAAGGATACAATATTACTCAAGCAAACAAAAAATAAGCAACTTCCAACCTCTAGAATTAAAAGACACATCTCGCTGCCTGCAGGTCACCCAAAGTTATTTTGTATCACTGGGGCATCCATCTTCGGCCTTCATGCCCATAGTATCCAGAGATATTTCCATGAAGCCGGAAATTTCAAAGGCAGTTCAGTCACTATCTGCTGTGTCCTGCAGAATGTCTTGCACACTCCGTCATGAATCAGGAACCCCGAATGATCATCTCACCTTGAAGCAAGTTCAGTAGTCCACTCTCTGCTGGTTCTCTGTGTCCAGTTTATGAAATAGTCCAGGCAATAGCAGTTTCTTGCCCAAATGGCTATCAAACTCCATAAGGAGCCTCTTCGATGCCCATCTTTCTTTTGGAGTAGATTGGTGCTGCCAGGAGCAGGTGTCTCATTGTCATGAAAAGCCCGAAGTTATTAAAACAATAAATGTCCTGTTCTGTAGTCTTTGAAAGATATGAAGAATGTCTATCAGAAATATATCTATGTACATCTAGAAAATCTAAATAACGTTAACTACAAACTTGACTATTATTAATGATTATCCATTATCAACCTATACACATTACATTTTTACATGAACTACATAATCACATTACCTTAATCAATATCAGAAATACATATACATATAACAAGATTGACCTTAAATTTATATCAATAAAGTCAAATCCATACCAATACTAATAGAGATTATTCATATCTCTATCATATCCCCTTTAAAATGTAAAAGAACATTTAGAAACAATATTTGTGAACATGGGCACAGTTTTTGCTTTCCAGACTGCTTCCTGCTGAATGGGGGTGCTTTTATTTAGGTCTTTCATGGTATAACTGTGTGCTAGATCCATCTATGTAAGCAGTTGAGTGAAGTGATTTTTTTGGAGGTGTTCACAGCAACCCTTCTCTGTATATCATTGACCTGGAATAACTCTGTAGACCAGGCTGTCCTTGAACTCTCAGAGATCCATCTGTCTCTGCCTCCCAGTCTTTGAGATAAAAGGCCTGTGCTACCACACCTTAAAGTCACAGAGTCAATCTCCCTCTGCCTCCCAAGTGTTGGGATTAAAGGTGTGTACTACCACACCCAACTACTCTCTTTCTTGCTTTTTTTTTTAATTTAATAACTTAAACTTTTAGCCTGCATACATTTTTAACACACTGTAAATTATTTAAAGGTTTTCTTTGTCTTTGAATCTCTTTTTACTGTCGATTTCTCTTTTTCTGACTACATGAGCCTTTAAATTACTGAGCAACATGGGTAAAATTAAAGCCATGGCTTTGCCGGCTACATCCAGCCCATTCCTTAGGTTTCCAGCCTCATGGCAGAGGTAACAGCTATAGCCATTTTTATTGCACCATCTCTATGGCATTTTAAGGTCCCTGCCAGCAAGTAAGCTGCAACAGTGTGCTCAACCACACAGACTGCCTGCCTGAAAGAGTCAGTGTTTGCCCCGGCAGGAGGGCCCAGAAAGCTGGCATTTTATAACAGGGCAGCTTTTTTCCTGCTATGGCTGAAAACCAAAAAGCATGTGTTCAGCTTTTCATTAACAACATTTAAGTGTTTCGTGGCAGGACCTCTTTAAAGAGCTGCAAGGTTTTGCAGCTAAAGTTGAGTCAGGAAGCCTCTCTTAGATGAGAGTGCTTGCTTGCCTCTAGCAAATTGAGCAGACCTGAATAATTGCCGCTACCACGTTGGGCACCATTCTGTAGTGGGAGCTGTGGGCTGCTTCCTGCCACCCAGCTCCCGGCCGCCTGGCTATGTTATGCCCCAAAATAACAACACACAAACTGTATTCTTTTAAACACTGCCTGGCCCATTATATCTAGCCTCTTCTAGGCTAATTCTCACATGATTATTTAGCCCATTTCTAATAATCTGCATAGCACCACTAGGTGCGCTTACCGGGAAAGATTCTGCATGTCTGACCTGGCTGCTGGCTGCATCGTGTCTGGCTCTGAGAGGAGCTGCCCTGCATCAGGGGTCAGTCAGCTGACCTGTTGCCTGTAAAATGTAGCACTCTCAGCTCCAGCACCATGTCTGCCTGCACAATGCCATGTTCTCCCCAATTATAACAATGACCTGAACTTCTGAAGTTGTAAGCGAGGCACCCGAATTAAATGCTCCTTTTATAAGGAATACCTAGCTAGGCAGTGGTGGCACACACCTTTAATCCCTGCACTTGGGGGTGGAGGAGTGGTGTAAAGACAGGTGGAACTCTGTGAGTTCAAGGCCAGCCTGGACTTCAGAGCTTGTACCAGGTTAGGCTTCAAAGCTACACAGAGAAACCCTGTCTCAAAAAAAGAAACCAAATCAAACAAACAAAAAGAGTTGCCATGGTAGCCAGGAGGTGGTGGTGTTCATATTTACTCCAGCACTGAGGTGGCACAGGCAAGCAGATCTCTGTAAGTTTGAGGCCAGGCTGGTCTACAGATTGAGTTTCAGGACAGTCAGGACTGTATTACAAAAAACCCTTGTCTTGGAGAAAAAAAGGAGTTGTGAGTGTATGTTTGTGTGTGTCTATGGAGTTCTCTAACTTCCAACACCTGATCTGTTTGTCAGGTTATCATTTGTGGTATTTTGAAGTATTTGCCTCCTATACTCTAATAGGAAAGGCATTTGCAGATGTGGATTAGGTGGAATGGTATGGCCTTAGTTGATGAAGTGTGGAAGCAGGCCTTGACCTCTCATATATGCACAAGCCATTGTTAGTGTATCAGTTTACTTCCTATAACCGAGAATTCACATGTATGTAGAATGTCTGTCTACACACAACAGTGTTGGACATCATGATAAAGGACAAAACATCTGAGAGTGTAAGCCACCCAATCAAATGGTTTCCATCATCAGAGTTGCAATTATCAAGATATTCTTTACAACAGAACCATAACTAATATGGAAGTTGATGCCAAGAACTGGAGTCTTTCTGTGATAGGTGTGATCATGTTTCTGATGAAGGAATATGGACTTTGGTACTGTGGATTAGGAAAACAGTTCAAAGGTTTCAGTGTTCCTAGTTAGAGCATACAATTAAGAGCAAGGAAGACAGTGGTGCTGAGTGGGATTTGAACTGTGTATGACAGCGTTGATAGGATTTAGAGGAGAATAAAATTAGTATATTCCCTAGGTAATCTTGTGATATATTCATGGAGAAATATCTGGGTTTTTCCCTTTTCTGAACAGTCTGACTAAGTATAAAGTTGTGAGTTTGGAATTGATCCTTATGGCAGAGGAAATCTCACAAAAAAATAAACAATGGTATAGTCACTGTCAAGCTGTTGTTTGGAGTGACACAAAGTAGTATATAATGAAAAGAGGCAAACTGATCATTTAAAAAAATGAAAGATGTAGAAAATTTTAATTGAAAAGAGCTCCAGGAATTCAGTAGAATGGAGTTGAATCATGTGTTTAAGGAGAAAATCACATTAAGATATGAAATAAAGGGAGTGGTGACATCAAAGGAAGATCAACACAGTTAACTTAACAACTAGTGAAAAGAAATTAAAGAAAAGCTTACAGCCAGCTGCTGTGGTGCATGCCTTTAATCCCAACTCTAGTAGGGTATTTGCTGGTGGATCCCTGAGATTTAGGCAAGCACAGTATCCACAGCAAATTGCTGAGGAGTCAAGCAAAGTTAGTGAGGAAACAAAGAGAAACTGAAAATTGGTGAAGGTGTAATTAAACCAGGTACCATGATCCAGCTAGTAACACAACCTGTCCACCTTAGCTACATGCTTCTAACATTAAAGTCAAAAGTAGAAGCACAAAAGTAGTTGAGGCCAGGCATTTTTCAAGAGTGACCCTCAATGGAAGCCTATAGTGAAATTGTGTGAAGGTGAACTAGAAGCCTGTATTGCGTGGAGTACAGCAATATGCCAGAATGGATGCCAGAACCATTATTTATCTGCCAAGGGTAGCTGCTTCACTTGTTGGGACGTTAAGCCCCACCAAGGAAAAGCTACCCCAAGAAACACTCTCAGACCGTTGTCGATAGCAAGAGGTATTTTTATTCTGCTGCTGGGAATTTGTATCTAGCAGGAGCTAAACCCATTCTGTATGAGAGGACAATGGCTGTTTTGGAGGGAATGCACCGGAGGAAATGCCACCTACACTGTCATCTGCTTGTAGTTATTTGAATGTAGTTTAGGGACATCTGTGTAGTGCATAATAATTATCCATCCCTGTGTATGGGTGACATGAAAAGCAGAGAAATATAAAAGAAAGAGACACTTGCCTTTTGTAAATATTGTGACCATGATAATCAGGCACTGGGTTATATACCAAAGTTTAATAATGAATTGGGTTTATAAAAGTGGGCCTTAAGTCGAAAGAGATGATTTATACAATAGACACTGATGTATAGATATGAGAAAGGGGCTGTTGCTTCGTCGGGCTGGCAGGGAAAACTAAGAAGACCTGAAATATACACATATATGTATATGTAAGACAATGTCTATATACAATATGATACTATATAAGTCATGAACCAACACCATGTGGAGGACTTGGAGTTTATGTCTGTATTTCCTGCAAGTAATGAAACCCAGTTGAATGTGTTCATGCATTACTCTGTGTGTTTGTGTGTGGTTTTGACTTCAGGGGGGAGATGCATAACAGGTGCCATATGACCCTGTATTTTGTCATTTAGAAAAATATATTTATTAAGATAACAGAGTTAAAATACAGAGGAAGGGAACATATTGGTGGCCAAAGCAATTGGGCCCCTTACAAATTACATTATCACATCATTTCTTTCTTTGTAGCTGACACAAGGATTCATCGTTCACTCTGGAAGGGGCATGCCACAGATCAACAGATCACCGATTATATGGGAAATTCCCTTCCTCATCCATTTCCAGCACTTAAATGGCCTGGATGCAGAGGTTTTGGATCGAATCTGAGGTAGATCATTGGGAATATTGGGTTTCAGGGATGGTTGCTCTGTCTAGAAGTCCATGTTCAGAAATAATGTGAGTCTTCCAAACTAGGTTGATTCAGATGAGGAGAGATCACCATGCGAGCTGTCCAACGAATTCACTTAGTTTAGTATGGCCCAGTAGCACACTTGATAACATTTGCCATCAGGACACCACTTTATGGGACTGTGATGTCTGAACAAGCTTTCAGCTCGAGGCAGGAGTATATGTTGAGCTTGATAAGACTTTGGCAACTCTTGTATCTTCCTTCTACACACTCTTTTTTAGATTGTCTCTTCCCAGCTTCTCTAATTGTTGGGAGGGCTGGTTCACTTGCTCTCTTCTTCAACGAGAATAGAGGGGGATTAGCACTTATGTGACTGCCCTTTAAACACAGATGCTCATTTTGCTGGAAACTGTTCTCACACATCAATTTGTGTTTTAGAATATTAAAAGTTGCTGTTACTTCATTTGGTTGCCTGTATCTTAGTGATGAAAAAATCTCTTCCAAGTTATAACCCATGGTGTACATAGTCTCTACAAGCCTTGGGAGGATTTCTTTAGTTGTAGGTGCTGTATGTTTTTTTATGGGACCCAGCCATGATATTTTAACAAGTTGATATATGGTTATTCTCCTGTTGGTGGGAACCATGAGTAATAGTGCGATGATGATGTGACAAGGAATTGACAAGTGGTCGAAGATGGGATATGTTGTGTTGGTGATGAGCCTGTGCATACCATCTATTGTGACTTCTGCATATGGAAATTGTCCTGTGACCATTACATATAGAACGACTCCTAAACTCCACATGTCAACAGCCAGCCCATCATAAGGTTTTCTTGCCAAGATTTCTGGAGCCATATACTTCAAAGAACCACACACTCTCTTCAACATCTGCCCCTTTGCAAGCTGAATTGCCAAACCGAAATCACAGAGCTTGACGTTGCCACCTCCATCAATAAGGATATTCTCCAATTTAATATCGCGATGCGCAATGCGTCTTTGGTGGAGAAAGTACACCGCTGTTATGACTTGTTGAAAGATGGGTCTAGCCTCCTGCTCCTTTAAACATCTCACCTCACGGAGGAACATCCATAGATCCTTTCCAGCCACATACTCCGTGATGATATAAGTCCTTGACTGTGTGTCAATGACGTGAAAAAAATGAATGATGTTACTGTGTTCCAAAGTCTGAAGGATCTTTACTTCTGAGTTCATCTCATTCATAGCATTGCTTTTTTTACTAAGAATCTTGATAGCAACATGTGAATTTGTGGGAATGTGGCAGGCAAGCTTCACTTCCCCGAAAGAACCTACGCCTAGAGGTTTTAAGATCTTGAAATCTTTGTCAAGGATGTCTTCGTCCCAGGGGCTGGCCATGATGTGTTGTCTCAATCCACCTACTTTTCTTGTTGACAGGCAATGCTAGAAACAAAAATTGAATCAACGGTAAGAGACAGGTCTAGCACCATGAATCCATGGTCATCAAATCTTAGATTTCCCAAACAAAACTAATGATGCACTTGAAGGACATAGATATACTAGAATAAGCCAACCTAAAAGCAGCAGACAAGGAATCACAGTAAAGATCAAATAGTTATTTGCATGGCTGATGTGGCCATGCAAATACAAATACTTACATCAGAGAAGTAATGATTTGATTATTTTCAACAATGAAGCAAGATGAAAATATTTGGCCCAACTTATCAAGTGATAAGAGATACAAATTAAATTAAAGGTAAAAAGGGATAATTTTCTAGCCAAATAACAATCCAGAGGATATCTTCTGGATACTTCAAATATTAAAACCTAGGGAATTTAAAATAATGAAAAAAATTCCTAGATTTGTGTGAACATTGAAATATGATAAAAGAAAAACCCTTAAACACATGAGACATACGTAGCAAGTGTGCCTATTAAGAAAAACATATAAAGCCATGGTGCTGGAAATATCGTGTTATAAAGCTGGGTTTTTTTTTTTTTGCTGACGTCTTTTCGGGATAAATTTTCTATCCTGCAGTGACTCACTTCCTATAAAGTTTCGCCTCTATGACTTCCAAAGCTTTCCAATCAGCACTGGCTAATTGTCACTTAAGGCTCCAAAACCTGAGATCGTGCTAAGAAAACCACTGTGGTAGTTTGAATGAGACAGGTCCTCACAGTATTGGGTGTTTGAGCACCAATTTTGGGCCCATTTAATTAATTTCATGTGGTAGAGCCTTGGTGACTTATTAGTCAGAGTTCTCTAAACAACAGAGCACCTTATAGAACAGTACAATCAACCTCTCTCCTCCTTGAAATTTATGGGAATCACTTACAGGCTGCTGTCCAGGGAATCCGACAATGGCTAGCTATGAACCGAAACTTCAAAAATTTCAGGAGTTGCTCAGTCCAGAGTGCCTACTCTCTTGGCTGGTCTTCAGTATCTACTGGAATCCCAAGGAAGTTGGCTCTTATTCCCAGGAAGGAATAGAGCCGCGAACAAAGTGAGGGCCAGAGACAAATGAGCCAACGCCTCCACCTACTTGTTTATATACTCTTCCAGCACAAGGCGTGGCCAAAATTAAAGGTGTGTCTCCTGGCGTCATGAACTGGATTAAAGGCTTGTGTCTTCCCACCAAATTCAATCATCAAAGGTGTGTGCCACCAGGACCTGACTAAAATTGATTCCTAACTGAGGCTTGATCACAGACATGATAAAATATCCAGGGCTCCTTTCTGGTGTAGAAGTTGAGAAAAAAAGAAAATAAACCAATAAAACCTCTGCTGGGTCTGAGAAGAGAAGAGAAGAAAATAAATGGGACCTCCTGAGACTGAGAAGCTTCTGTAAAGCAAAGGATACTGTTGCTAAGACAGAAAGGCAACCCACTGACTGGGAGAAGATCTTCACCAACCCCACAACTGATAAAGGTCTCTTCTCCAAAATATATAAAGAACTCAAGAAACTAGACCGTAAAAGGCTAATCAACCCAATTATAAAATGGGGCACTGAGCTGAACAGAGATCTCTCAACAGAAGAAGTTCAAATGGCCAAAAGACACTTAAGGTCATGCTCAGCTTCCTTAGCGATCAGGGAAATGCAAATCAAGACAACTTTAAGATACCATCTTACACCTGTCAGAATGGCTAAAATCAAAAAGACCAATGATAGCCTTTGCTGGAGAGGTTGTGGAGAAAGGGGTACACTCATCCATTGCTGGTGGGAATGCAAACTTGTGCAACCACTCTAGAAAGCAGTGTGGAGGTTTCTCATTTTAAATAATTTTTATAATACAATCTTTTTCATTTTACATAGCTTTCCCAGTTCAAACTCCCTTTTCATTTCCTGCCTCACCCATTCTTCACCCTCTTCCCATTAAATAATAATCTGAAAACAAAGGAAAACATAGAGATTCTCCTGGACATTGGAAGCAGACAAGATTGCCAGGTAAAAGTAGGGAGCATGGGCATAAGGATGGTGTAGGGGAAGAAAAGAGCGAGAGAGAGTAGCGTAAAGAGTAGGGTTAAGGAGAGCTTGGGGGAGTGGGATGGTTGAGATGGAGGAAGGACGGATATGGGAGCAGGAAAGAAGATATCTTAACTAAGGGATATTTGGGGTTGGCAAGAGGCTTGGCTTTAGAGAGGTTCCCAGGTTTCCACGGGGATATCTGCAGCTAGGACCCAAGGCAGTGGAGGAGGGAGTGCGTGAACTGACCTTGTCCCATAGTCAGACTGATGACTATCTTGATTATAATCCACAGAATGTTCGTCTGGTGACAGATGGAGATAGAGACGGAGCCCCACATCGGAGCACTGGACTGAGCTCCCAAGGTTCAGTTGAAGAGCAGAAAGAGGGAGAATATGAGCAAGGAAGTCAGGACTGCAAGGGGTTGGGTTACCAGCTGAGACAGTGTGCCCGATCTAATGGGAGCTCACCCAAGCCAGCTGGAGTGGGACTGAATGAGCATGGGAACAAACTGGACCCTCTGAATGTGGCTGACAATTGGGGCAGACTGAGAAGCCAATGATAATGGCACTGGGATTTGTCTCTACTTCATGTACTGGCTTTTTGGGATCCTAGAGTACTTGGATGCATACCTTTCTAAGACAGGATGGAAGGGGAGGTCGTTGGACTTCCCACAGGACAGGTACCATCCTCCCCTTTCTTTGGATTTGTGGGTGAGAGAGGTAGCATTATTAGGGGAGCATGAGTGAAATGGGAGAAGGAAAGGAAGTGTAAATTTTGAATAATAATATTTATTTAAAAAAATTAACCACAGCCGGGCGATGGTGGCACACGCCTTTAATCCCAGCACTCGGGAGGCAGAGGCAGGTGGATCTCTGTGAGTTCGAGACCAGCCTGGTCTACAGAGCTAGTTCCAGGACAGGCTCCAAAGCCACAGAGAAACCCTGTCTCGAAAAACCAAAAAAAAAAAAAAATTAACCACAATTAAAAAATGGAAAAAAAAAAAAGAGAGAGTGAGAATGAGCCTAGGGTTCAAAACCATGATAGTGATATCCACAGGAATAGCTGATATGAGATAGTGAGAGATCAGTGACTCTGCTTTGATAGAATGGAACCTGCAAAAGAAAAAAAAAGAATTAGAACCCCTGAATGTGATGGACAGTTGTGAATTGGACCACTGACTGTGGTAACAGCATTTATCCCTAGTGCTTTAACTGTCAACATACTATTTTCACTTAGGCTGATGGTGCACTAGAGTGAAAAACTTTGGGGCACTTTAGCATTACTGCACCCCCCTTCCTGGGAACCACTACCCTGGTAACTAATGACACATGCACTCGAGTTTTAGTACTTTCCATCCCCTTTGTAGTCTTTCATCAGCAGATGCAGAACCTGGATCTGGGGTGAGACAACCTGCAGGTGTTCCTCCTTGTAATTGCCATAGTATTGATCAATTAGAGTTAGCTGGCTGTTGAATGAACTAGTCAAAATAGTTGACAAATGATTTCTGGACTTTCTCTTTGATTCTGTACTACACCTCCTTCATTTTGTGTGTGTGTGTGTGTGTGTGTTTTTTCTTATTAGGAGCCTGTAGTAGACAAAGCAGGGTTCCTTCTCCTCGGAGGGCTGAGGGATCTCTGCTACAGCAGCAGAATAAAAATTCCTCTTGCTATTGACAACCGTTCTGAGAGTGTCCCTTGGGGTACCTCCTCCTTGGTGTGGCTTTAGGTCCCAACAAGAGAAGCATCTACCCTTGGCAGATAACCAATGGTTCTGGCATCCATTCTGGCATCTTGGTGTACTCTAGGCAATACAGGCTTCAAGTTCACACCTACACACAATTTCACTATAGGCTTCCATTGAGGGTCTGGTTTTCCTGGAACACTGTGTGTAAACCAGGTTAACCGTGAAATCACATTCAGGTGTGGATGATTCTACCTAAAGGATGTTGGGATGAAAGGTGAGAATCACCACCTTTTGACAGTTTCTGGTTTCTTATGGATGATAAATACCAGATCATCACTGGGGTTCATCTCAGATATCACACAGAAAATGGGATTCTATTTTTGACAGGGCTTTGGGTTGAGGATTATGAAAGTTTCCTTGTGAATTCCGGGCTGCCAGCCACCTCTCTTCCCCAATTTCTGGAAACATATGTGCATATATAGCTGTTAGGTCCTTGGTTCCCAGGGGAGCAGGGGAAGCACTGTGGCACAGAGGCTGAGAAGGTTCAGAATTGTCAGAAATGGCTTCAGAATTGTCTTAAAGTTTTACAAGATCCAATGCTTTCAGTCCACACACAACAACAACTACTCCACCAGCTGGTTCTGCATAAGCAGATATCATCCCTAAATAGGACAGGTCTATTTATCTACCTGGAGCTTGTAACTTGGAGGTGCTGTGACTGCAGTAAGCACTACCAGCTCTCCTGGGAGACTCACCTGGTGGGGTTTGGGGGCGAGGGTGAGGGTGGCACCGTGGTGCTCTCTCAAGCTACAAGCCTAAAGGTAGAGCCTGGAAAACCTTAGAGAGGAAGACCTCAAGGGAAGAGAGGTGGCTGGCAGCCCGGAATTCACAAGGAAACTTTCATAATCCTCACCCCAAAGCCCTGTCAAATATAGAATCCCATTTTCTGTGTGATAACTGAGATGAACCCCAGTGCTGATCTGGTATTTATCAATAAGAAACCAGAAACTGTCAAACGGTGGTGATTCTCACCTTTCATCCCAACATCCTTTAGGCAGAATCATCCACAACTGATTGTGATTTCAAGGTTAACCTGGTTTACACACAGTGTTCCAGGAAAACCAGGGCCGTTATACACATAAACCCTCTTAAAAAGCCAAAAAGTAAAGGGAAGCATAGAGCCTTAAACCCAAAATGCTGAAAGTAAAAGTAATAGAAAAATGTAATAAAAAGAAAAAATAAAGTCTAA